ATGCTTCTAAAAATATTGTCTCTACATACACATATGTCTCTACAGACATTCGTATGTAGACATATTCGTTTGTAGAGACAATATTTTTTAGAAGAAGCGTTTCGTAACTCGAAAATATCGTAACTAGAGCCTTTCGTAAGTAGAGGTACCACTGTACTAGCTTTTTCTTCCCGAGCCTCATCCCTTCACAAGGCGAGCCAGTGGTTGAATGGAAGTCCTCTATACCAGTGTTTCTTAAGCTATTTTATGTGTAAAACCAGCAGTCCTACTGCTGGTGCCTGGGACCAATTCCCACTGATTACAATCATACCTTTATTTCTTTGAAACTCTCTTGGGACCAATACTTTGAATGTCTTTGCAATTTTCAATACACTGCTATAACTTACGCTGTTATAGGAGTGCCTTTTGACAATTATACTACCCCTGAACATTTATCTACATAAGCTCAAACACCTTATTTCTCACTCCCAAATGCAGGTATCCCATCTTTCTTGCATGGCAGTTAACCCTCCCTTGCCCTTTAATGATTGAAACTTTAAAGGTGGTGAGCCTGGAAACCATTCTGCTTGATAAATTGCTGACCTGTGTAATCATAAAGCACACCTACAAAATGAGAAAATAGACAACTCTGCCTTACCATGCGCAGGTCCTTGCGGTAGTTGTTCTTGCGGATGATGTGGCGGAGACTGCTGAGAGTGGCACGTGCATTTTTGTTGATGGTGATCTTCTCATAGGAAGTGGCTGGCTTCCGCTGGCCTACAAGGAGGAAGAGAAGTGATTAGAATGCAGAAGCAGAAGCCTCAAAAATTTATCAGGACGTGACACCTCAAACACCGGGATGGTAATTTTGGAAGATTTTTTGCATTCTCTTTCTCCTTGCTTAGACAGGGATTTCCTTCATGCAAACTCCTCCCCCCCCCTCTCTTTCATTCAAACCATGTGACTAGGTCACTTCCTCTTTAGGACTAACACTCTCTCTTTCAAGATTTTCAACTGAGCTGTTCCCATCTTCCTGCTCTCTCAACATTTTTTGGAAATATGGTGAAATAAATATTTCTCTTTACCTGAACTATTCACTAGTTAGATTAGGATATAGCCTTTTTAGTAAATATAGACTAAAGCGATTGTTTTAAACTACAAATTATGTGTTTCTTGTTTTTTGGAGTCAGCCTCAGTTCTTAGGGAAGCATAGTTAGGCAAAGGTACGTTTCTGCTACTCTGCAAATTTAAAGCCAGACTCTTAACAGGCTTGGCTTTCATATTTTGATATTTAAATATTTTTGTTAAAAAGGCTGAAGCCTTAGGAAATTTAAATTACCCCGCTGTTGAAAATGTGCATGCAGCAAATCCTGAATGAGTATAAAATGGTTTCAAACACCTTTACTAGCATTCTTATATAAAACAATGGTAACTATGCCCCAAAAATTATTGGCCCTAGGACCAGTTTTTCTGGAAATTTTTCCAATGCTTTAACTAATGTTATCTGATTCAGCACATATGGTTTAAATATTATATTCAAACATAATCAAAGCTTCATGGAAATAATTTCATTGGAATGTTTTTTAATAAAGAGCACAGCACATGCTACGCTTATATGTAACAAAAGTATGTCTACGCCAGGAAAAAAGCTGCATGCCTAAAGAGAGCTGTAATTGATATCTTAATATCAAGTTTAAAATTTAATTTTTTGGGGCTGAGATATAACTGTAGTACCTTTAGTTTCGCTCACTCTGTCATTTCAATTTCAAGTTGAGGAAGTATGTGCATCTGTGGCATTAGGAACTTATCATGTTTTATCTTGTTGTTACTTATTCAGAAGCAAGATATTTTAGCTCATCTAACAGGACTGCACTGAGTATAACTACCCAGACAACTGTGAATAAATGAGATAGACTTTTCCACAGAAAAATATAGCATCAGAAAATTTCCCACAGATCTATATAGGAGTTCCCAGAAATTCAATAGACTTTCATGCTGAAAGTTGTGGTTCAAAACTCGTCCTTTAAATACTTCTAATATAATGTATAATATTTTATTTTTCCAAACCTATTATTTCCAGGAATGGGAAATATAATGGCTGGCAGGTAAAGAGACTTGGAATAAGCAGACTGTGTAGAAAACAAGCCAGTTAAATACTCCACTTTGGCCACAACTCTAATCAGCTCCCTCTGGCTTCTGCATACTGTTTTTTGTTGCCCCTGTAATAACTTGAGACACTTGCTTTTTTAAAAATAGTCACATGTGGCTAGTACAACCTGTGTTCCGGTTAGTCTACATTCACCAGCCCATTACACCATCAATAGTCTGAAAATTCACTTAAAAAATTAATTGATTTTTAAAAAATGAATTTTTAAATATCTGCTTCGGGTCTCCATTTCAACTTGGAATCCAGTTCAGGATCTTGCTTTAATATGAGCTAACTCACCTGCACGTTTTTTGAGGACTACAACAATGCCTTTTCCATCAGCAGCTGGTTCCACCCCAACAGTCTTGCGATGGATCAGCCCATTGTAGCGGAAGGAGTTGCGGGCTTTAAGGTTGTTTGGTTCCTTTGAAAACAGAAGAAAACCCTTATCAGGACTCCTAAGGTTCAGAACAAGAATAGGGGGCATGGAAATAGGGCTTTTTTTTTTTAACTTCAAAGGGAAATTGAAAAACACAAAGGGAAATGAGGTGCTAAGAATCCAAGGCAGCTGAATCCTTTGGTAGGAATTGGCCGTTTCAGCAACGCATACTAGAAGTCAAGGCTCTTCATTACAAGGGAAAGGAGTTATGTCTCACCGTGCTGTATGTTTGCTTGTTCCTTTTGATAAGGAAGCTTGAGCAGTTGCGAACAATCATCCACTGAAGATGGGCAGACATTGTGCAGAGTCCTGGACAAGAAAAATTGAAGCAATCATTCATTGTTTGTTTCTGTATATTTTACCTAATCTTCAAAGCTCATAGCTAAGTAAGATGCTTCCTTGCTCCCTACAAATTACCTCACCTCTATCAATACCAACTGAGAATCCCATGTATTTTTATTGGGTTACCTCATCCTTCTTTCTGTTTTTATGTTGTTATGGATTTTGCTATCCTGGTACCTCTAAATTAGACTCTCACCTTACAATACACTTACTGACAATTTAGTTTGCTGACATAACATCTCTACTAATAAAACTGTAGCAGAAGCATGTTATCACAGTCTCTTTCCTCAAATCTACATAACAGCATGTGTTATGTGCTATAAAGGGATAGGGGCAAACTTTTCTCCCCAAATGTGGATGGAAATATAGACTTTGAAGCATCAGAAAAAATATCAGAGTAAGAAGCTGTTCAAAATCAGGGATAGCATAAAAGACCGTCTGTATTATGGAAAATGAAGAAAGCCCTTTGCTTACTACTGGACTGGATTCATTGTTATAATAAGCTATAATACATTATAGTTAAAACTAGCTAAAATCATACTTCTAACCCCACATTTGAAACAGGCACATATGTCGCATGTTATACATAAGCATCTTCAATACAGGAAGAATAGGGTGTCCTTCCATTATAACCCGTTTGGTAAATCCTCTCTGGCACTCCATGAATTGGGAGGCTTAGACAACAATGCCAAGCATACTAGCTTGCAAGTGAAGCCCCTAGAACTCAGTGATACTTGATTTGAAATGAGCTGTGAAATTTTAAAATTCAAATGTCAGCACTTCCAAAGACCACAATTACCCACCCCACCACTAAAATAAAGAGCATCTGTGTAACCTGCAATGCTTTGCTCCTGGACATTCAAAAAACAAAGTTTTATACAGTTTATAAGAATTTTGGTTGACAAGTTTCAAAGCTATAAAGCATCCTTTCATCACACTCAACCTCAAGCAGCATACTTGTGTATTTGTGTAGAATTCAGAGACACAGCCATGTTAGCTTGAAATCAGTTTGCAAAGAGATCTTGCAGCAACTTCGAAACTATGTAAAAGAAGTTGTAGCTTACGTTTTGTAAGTAGAGCATGTTTATGAAAGCTTCTGCTACATCTTCTTCTGTAGTTAAGTCTCAAAGGTACCACAAGACCCCTTTGCATGCTGATATTTGTCATTTATTCTTTGTGCTTCAAATGTTAAGATTATGAGCCTGAAGGGAGCACCTGTCACATTGGCTCTCTTTGCAAATTGCTCCGGGGAGCTTTAGGATTACAGCAGTGTAATTTGGAAGTGGTATTCCCTGGACTGGTGCCAGTCTCTGATGAGTTTCCAAGAAGGAAAGAAAAAAAAAGGAAACAATTGCAATGAATGGACACAAATATGATGCCGATCTTTATCCCATTGTGGTTGTTCGGTGCCTTTAAGTCATTTCTGATTTATGGTGATCCTATTATGGGGTTTTCTTGGCAAGGTTCAGAGGTGGTTTACCATTGCCTTCCACTAAGGCTGAGAGAGCGTGACTTGCCCAAGATCACCCAATGGATTTCATGCCTGAGCTGGGAATCGAACCCTGGTCTTCAGTGTTATTAGTCCAACACTCAAAAACACTATGCCACACTGGCTCCCTGTCCCATTAAACAAACATAATTGTCTTTCTGACAATGTCAGATGGCCTAAGAACCACTGGATTAGAGGGAGAGACCACTTTATATCAGTGATTCTGAAAATTTGGTCCAGCAGATGTTTTGAACTTCAACTCCCAGAATTCCTGACTGTTGGCCAAACTTTGGGAGCCGAAGTTCTACACATCTGGAGGACCAAAGTATGGAAACCACTGCTCTATATCGGCAGTCCCTGTAAGAGCAGGGTGACCAAGTGTCCTAACCAGAGGACACAGCACCACAAAATGTAGAACGTCCAAGAAAAGGTAGGATGTGACCAAATAAAAGCTAAATGAAATGTAATTTCATGCATCTTAGTCCTGCTCAAAATAAAAGGCATTTTAGAATACCTCCTGGCCAAAGACTGACATGCAGGATGTGTCCTCGCAAAGGAGGACGTCTGGTCATGCTGTGTAAAAGGAGTAATGGAGGGAGAGAGAGAGGAGAGGAAGATGGCTGACAATGAGACAGTGAGTGAAGAAGTGTGCTACATCTCTCCCTTTCTCCTTCTGTCTATCTATCTATTTATCCACCCATTCTGTGTTTTAAGCACTGTTAGCATTTTAGCTTTTAGCTCCAAAACACACTGTAGAAATAATCCAGTTTGAGGCCACTTCAACCACCCTGGCTCAGTGCTAGGGAATCCTGGGAATTGTAGTTTATTTTGGCACCAGAGCTCTCTGACAGAGAAGGCTCAATGCCTCACAAAAATAGTTCCTAGAATTCCCTAGCATTGAGCCGGGGCAGTTAAAGCGGTCTCAAACTGGATTATTTCCAGTTTTGGACTTTATTCGTGTTTTTAATAATGCTGACATTTCATTACTTGTTAACTTTTATAAAAGAGGGTCGCCATAAGTCGGGAACGACTGGAAGGCACACAAGAACAAGGCAACCTGGATCCCATTTTGGGATC